AGCAGTAAAATACTTAGGAATGCTTCCAAATCAATCCTAGTTTATTTATATTTTATCTGATTTTAAAATTCAACGTCAAAATCATAATTTGATTTTAAAATAGGATTGTTGGATTTTAAGGGTAAGCGACATTGAATTGGTGGTTGAGTAAAACATCCATAAAGTACTGTAAAAAATAATCGGTCAACGTAGTGTTTCACAATTACTATTTTTGTATCCTCATTATTAAAATAATCAACGAAAATACTTATTGCGAATAAAAAAATCTAAATATTGTAAGCTAACAGATTTTAGTTAATGAAGTAGTTTTTTAATATAGTGTGCATACAATATTGTTTGCATGAACCATGACTCCACCCTTTGCAAACGGCCTATGAATATCTACACCAGAATTAAATGACAATAATATAATTTAAATGGGTTAGACGTATGACACAGTTCAGCATAGTTCAAACAATCATAGAAATATCATCTTTAAGATCGTAAAAGATGTTTTAATTGTTTTAGTAAAATTGTAATAAAAAGGCGAATAAAATTTAAATGCATTTTTACTCACCTAGTATTGCTGTTAATTGATGCACTTATCTAAATAAAAAATTAAAACTAGTTAACCGTTCTATTTGCAGGATGTCTTGTGGTGCAATTATATCGATTGTGGCTGGCCCACTGATCGGCATAGGTCGTGAGGTACTTTATACGAGTATTTCATATCTAAACGCATAATTGTTCTCCATGAAGCACACTTTAAATGTGTAATAATAACTCGTTGGAACTGATACCGGTAAGTGCCAAACATATTTATCATTCCTAATAACATAATAAGTTAGGGTCTACTTTCAGTATTGTTTACAGTACATTACGTATTTGAATTATGTATTGGGTGTAATTTCGTCCTTTGTATTGCAAATGTTTAAACTATTTAAACACTAGCTAAACATGTTCAAATGTGTTTGGTAGTATTTATATTAGTCCGCTCACAGTTCCTTTGATCAAGGCTAAAATGCATAATACGACGTTCAATGTACAATAATCTACGATATATGTTTTATACTCATTTTATTCAAGATAAAATACTCCTCTTTTTTGGAGGCGTTATATCTTTATGATTTACGTCTTTGCGATGTATTTTTATAAAGTTTGAGTTACTATTCATGTTTAACTTAACTCAGTTTAATTCATTAACCTTTTTAGGTTTCAAAACTATTGACTGATTGATTTATCGATTAATGGCACAGTTAGTGTCACCCTGAGCGATATTATAATTTTTTCATCCAAAACATAAAATTTCGCAATTTCTACCTATAACATTTTTTAGAGCTTAAAAGAACAATAGTTATTTGTGTAACTAGTGGTGAAAGTGGCACTTTGCTGCACACGAGAGCAATGTTTACGGTTTACGCACGAGCCGCAGGCGAGTGCGGAATGATCTCGAGTGCAGCAAAGGCCTTTTTCACTCGTGTTACACATTATATTTTTCCTACAGTCACTATGAATCATATAAATAATTAGTCTCTCAAACACTATACAACACGTTTTTAGATTCAGCTGGCAACACAAATAAAATGGTGCCCTTAGAGAAAGTAGTACCCGCGGTCCGTATCACTCCGCTATTTTTCCTCGGCAAGAAATGTGCTCCGCGTTTTGAGAATATAGTTCCGTATGTTTTTGTAATTTGAAGTGGTTTCCGCGCCTAAAAAAATGCTTTAAATGTATTTTTTTGTTTATTAAGATCGTAGGAATGTTTTAAAAACGTTTAAAAGAAAAGTCCAGGAAGTTCAGAAATACCGAAACTATAAACACGAAATGACAGGTAAATCGAAGTTATAATAGTCAATCAGCTGCTCATAGTATTATTATCTTTAAGTGTTGCCAACCTATTTCCAAGCGTACACGGATTACGTGCATAATAGAACCACGCTGTTTTGTGTTGTTTCGTTGGAATCCTGATGTGCGGCAAAGTATAAACCGTACGGCAAAGTATAAATATGCATCAATTAGCAGCTTTCTGTACTATAAACAGTACAAGGAAGCCAATTTTGTCGGGTGACTGTAGGAAAATAATTTAGTACACTGAATGAAACTCGCCGCGACTAGACATTTAGTATATTATAAATATTTAAATAAACGATATCAGCAAACTGACACATACTTTCTCCCATTGGCTTGTCAACAACCCTTATAATGGGATAAGCGGTGGAAGAGACTATGTTATTTTATGGGTAAAATCGCAAAATTTGCAATCACTTTTCCACCTATTTTATTACGGAATTGGTGGTTGTGCCAATCTTTTAGAGTTTAAGGGACTCATAACAAATAAAATTGTAATAAAAATAGTTTAAAATCCGATTTTATGTTACTTTATGGGCTTTTATGAGGAAATATCCACTAAAATTCAAAATTTCTAAATTAAAAATAAACTACTGGAGATACCAAGGATTAGTACAAATTTAATCAAAATCGGACCACAGGTGTAATCTGTAAACATCCCTCCTCACACACAAAAATCATTTCGAAAAGCACTTTTTTAGGTTCAGGGGAGCGCGTATCAGATACTTTCACTCAAACTCATAAATTTAGAAGAAAATAATGTACTTTATTCATGTACTAATATCTAGATAGAAAGAGTAAAAAAGTATTTGTATTGAATACAGTGATTGAAATTATTCATATTCATCTACATATCATTGTATAATGGCGCATGTAAACTGACGAGAAGTAACTAAGTAAATGTTTCTGCTTCCACTTAACAACTTTAGGAGTAATACAATCAAAGTTGTAACAAACATTAGCTTTGCTCTAGTATAAGTCGAAAGTCGCGTGCGGCGAACCTGAGAAATGGCTGCGGGTTTGCCAAACAGACATAGTCTCCAAGATGATATTTTACCAACCCTTCCAGCGACATCGCCTGATGTACGGAGTAGAAATTTTATTAAGTTTTTAAATTTAAGGGTTTACCGTTCTACGAATGTTGCAAACTTTGTCATCGGATACAGGCAGAAAAGTGCTGTTCATGTTGCTTAAATTCAATGCGCGTAAAACACATGTACACTACGTAATGTATAATACACACTCCATCGGTCTTGTAGACAATTTCTAATAGTGTTAATATTGAATTAATATTAAATAGAATATTTTGTATCCAAGAACATATTTCACCAAATAGGTAGGCATACTCCAGTCAATTTACACGTTTGTTTGCTTAATAAGCTGAGTGGTTTACTTATACAAACTCTGTTGCAACTCAATAACTGGTTACGTAGATATTTACACATGAATATTTCTGTTGACTTATGAAACTTTTACTTGAATTCTTAGGGCAATTATTGCTGTGTTGTTTATTTAGTTATGTTTTTGATAGACCCAATTCTACTCTATTTATTATTATAATGTATATCCACGCCAGCGGCATTTATTGACGTTTTTGTTAGTGAACGGCCGAAACCCTGGTCCTTGCTATTATCTATTGTTTACATATTGTTAGAAAGAATAAAATTGATAGCCCAACAATAAATTAATCTGAATCTTAACGCACTCGCTTAAAAATATAATGATATGGAATAAATAGAATGTCTTTCTGATTATTATAAACACATACGAGATGTTAGTTAACTCCGCCCATTTGTCTACAGTTTAAGTGTTACTAGAGAAGTACACCATTTTATTAATCTTATATACCAAAAAACTGTTGCAAAGCCTACGACAGCTAATCTGGCAATACTAATGGACCGAATTAAACGCGGGTGGTACCAAATGAAAGATATTTTCCTGTAGATGTGTAGATCCCTTTATAAATTAAAATAGATTCAAAAATAAGCATAATAAACTATTTTAAAATTTAAAAAAATTAACATGGGCCTTACGTGTTACCATGTTGGTGTCGAAATGACAACAAAATATAAACAAAATCAAAACAAATGGAAGAAATTCCAATTACATGTTTTATTTACAGCGTGGGGTGAAAATAGAGAATTTTGCACAATACATACTTTTGGTCGAGTTTTCGACCACGGAGCGAGCTCTCTTAGTTTATTAAATTTCATTCACAAGATTAAGATGATTATCTCCATTTTTCATAGATGTATTTCATAGGTGATGCATTTCTTTTACTGTTGATAATTTCAACCGAGCAATGAGCTTAAACACAGCCAATATGCCTACATTGACCACCGATTCAAAAATTGTGAAATAATCGAACATGAGTAATAATTAAAATGAGTAATATAACACTGAGAGTATCTTATGCTGTTTTCATCACTACTCAAAATTTGATTTAGCAAAATTATAAATTAATTATTATAAAAGTAAATATATAGTACTACAGTATAGTACTTCAGTGTTCATTATAAAAAAATAACTGTAAATCAAACATGTATTAGATAAACTTAGAATTAAGTAGTTAATGGAAAACGGGTCCATACCGCGAGGGCGAGGATTTTTTGTGTCAATTTTATATTTCAGTTAATTTAGTAATATTAATTTGAGAAATTAAGTGGGTAAGATTAACTTTTATGAATACAAATTAAAAAAATATTATATTTATATTGGCTAGTTTAAAAAAAAAACTTTTTATGTTAAATTTATTATTTAAAAAGTTACCTCACTTTAAAACGTTCCTGTTTTGGCATAAACCATTTCCGCAAAAAATATATCTAAAATTTGGATGGATAAAGTATTGAATGAACAAACTTTGTATGATAAAAACAAATTGAAGTTTTAAGAGCAGCTCAACTATATGGCGGTTTAATGATTCTCTAATGTCCTAATACAGCATAATATAATGCATTAAAAACCTAGTTTAAAACCATTATCTCCAACAAAAGCCGATTCAGTTCCCATGGTTGAGATCCAAGAAATGTCACAATTAATTATTAATTCCAAATGTAATAAAGTCTTTTTACAGAATATTTCTGGCTAATAGAATACATTAATACATAATTACAAAACATATTTTTACATTCAATTGTTTTACAATTATTATTGTTTATTTTTCTCGGACTCACCATTATAAATACTGGAGTAAAGCTGCGATGTATATAATGCACAGAGCAGCGGGCACTGTGCGCTCTAGCGGGTCTCTGCTGTACTTATACCGCCGCCGCCATGTTCTTCTTCTTCACGCCTCCTTTAGCAACAATGGTGCAGTCAGCTGGAGCTACGTGCCGTCTCATGCACTGACCTACCATGACCATCGTCTATGCTAAACCACCATGATAACGTTCATACAGAAAAAAATATAAAACGTCCAGTTTGCCGTCGTTTTGAAATCACGTCAAATTTAGCGAAATACTTAATTAATTTGGTAATTAGAAATTTTATTTACTCCTTTTTAGTAAATTCTCTAAGTAGTTCTCTAGTAAAACCGCGACATATTGTGTGGTGGATGATTAATTCGAAACGGAAGAAATATTCACCTGATTAAATTTTATGGTGAAAGTCCTTTGGTCAATGGTAGTTTTCCCGATTCAATTAATGATTTCCCCCAATCAATAGTTTTTGGTTTTGCTTTTTTAATCAATATGATACGAATAACAAGAAAATCAACGAGGATAACAAGATACAACCGAATATCGCTGTATCAGTTAGACAGAATAATATTATGTTACGGCCAAGTATGATCATACAGAAATTTGGAAAGTAACCCCTGAATAAGTCATAATGATCCCTTGTCAGTCCCTTTACTAGAAATATTTTAAACACAGATACCATCCATTGCTCATTATATTTTGTAGTATATTTGGCACCCCCATACTACTATGTTTGTGATTAGCACAGTTTGAAAACGAATGCACACATCCAAAACTATTACACGTTCAGTAAATAAATAAATGGAAATATTTATTAAACAAATGGCTAATATTAACAAAGACGGGCATTGTTATTATGCTAAACTTGGTATAAATCTGCAATGTAAATATAACATGTAACGACTCATCGACCTTACCAAAACTGTTGATTTGCTGTATACACAGCTTGACACACAAATAATGTGGTAAAAGGGAGGTTTTGCTGGCGAAAAACGAACAAAAGCCATTAGCAGTTGAACTGGAAGAACTGCAAAATATTGCCATGTTTTATACATTACGTGTACATCCGAAAACTGTGTTTATGGTAATTTTACTAAATTCTATTTTAGGTAATATATTTGTTATGTAAAATCTGCTGGTATAAGTAAATTACCTTACATAAAACTTTTATTATGTTAACAATATTTTCCAAAGTCCCACAAAACGTGATACTGTATTCGCTAATACCACTATACCAGGTACTTTATGAGGCCGGAGGTTTTGTTTAGCAGCTCTGCGTGTTGTGTCTGACTTCGCTCTAAACGGAATATTAGGAACTCATTTCACGGCAAGCTACAATTAAGTCGTGAACGTTCTAGATTTTACAATCAAATCTATGAAAACGTTAAAGCGATTGAAGGATGTAGATACAGTACACTTTGACAAAACATTTATTTTGTTAGATATTTTAACTTTACCATTATGTTACGAAATAACTGTTGGTTTAACAACTTGCGGGTTTACTTAAAAATCTTCTCAAAAGTTAATCTTTAGTTGAAGATGTATCAATCTTAATAAAATAACACCAATCAAGCTACACCAGTTTAACAATGCTACAAGTGAAATAAATAAGTCATAATGAAAGCCTTTAAAGACAACAATACTATGGACAGTGACATTAGACAATAAAAATGTTACAGATCTACAATATACCTATGTTCTATATAGGTATATAATATATTCGATAGGGTAATCTTAGTAGCCAATACACCATAAATGCTAACTAAATATTAATCGTATCGATGTACGTGAAACTTCAAGGCAGGTTCACTGTCAGAGTATAACAATGTGTTGTTTGTAATCAATATTTTTTACAAAATAGGAAAATGTGTAAATGGTATTGTTGATCAAGCATTATTCAGTTTTTAAAAGTACTCTTCCGCTGTAGGGAAGAGTCTATGGCCGTAAGGTGCACGGTATGTATACTGTATTTGTGTGTGCGACCGTCAACACAACAACTCAAGGAATTCTTGGTCCGATTGTCATCAAATTTGGCATGATTGTGTAGGACGAGATAAACTTGCATGAATATTTACAAAACCCCACAACACCTTATTGCAATTATCCGAGCTTGTAAATGTTAAATATTATTGTAGAGACATTTGGTTGTTCGCGATACACAAACATAATGTTGATATAACAGAATTGAATAATGAACCACTTTCATCACTCGGGTCTACTGTATTTTCTTCGGAAAAATCAGCGGACTATTTTAAAGTAAAATTGACAGCTGTCAATTTTTCTCTATCCTAAGCACGAAATGCACTTAAACTAGGTTTTGACTGAAAAGAGTACTTGGCGATATTTTCAGTAGACTTTGCGACGTAAACATTATTCAATTAGCTACAATGATCAGCCGCCGCAGCACTGATTGCACAATTGCTTGTCCGCTAGATGCCGCAGTTTTTGTCTCTTTCCATCAGCAACAGCATTAAAGACAGTTTAATGTGTGTCGGAGTCAACGTCGGAGTAAACGTTACAGCACTTGCATCGCCTCGGCTCCAATGTCTTGTCGCCGCCTGACCCCCTAGTACAGACAGAGGTAAATATGATGATTAAGCTGTACACTGTATTTAGTTAGCTACACAGATAAAAAAAAAAAAAAAAAAAAAAAAAAAAAACTCTTTGCTTAATTACTGTACAATTATATCTGGTCTATCGGTTGAAACAACCTAAAAGAAATTAAACCCACTAACCTTCAGACAAAACCCCTCTTAAACAATTTTCCTATCGCAGAACCATTTCCTTTAAGCAATTTTTACCGTGATATAGGGCCTAGAGTGCAATATTTTCAAATGACTGTAATCCTTACATCAGAGGCTTCATCTGTCCAACTAAAATGCTAGTTGTGTCTAAAATAATTGTACTAGAATAAGTAATAAGTTCAGCAATAGTAAAAATAACAAAAAGAAACAAAAATTAGGTTTAAATTTACAAACAACCATAAAATATCTTCTTGGTAGCCTTATTACTACAAAATTTAAAATATTAAAACCACAGAGGCTGAGAAGAACCGTGATCTTTAACGGCTAATTTTACATTTTGTGTTTTAACACAATGATTTAAGATTTACCGCCTTGTAGTAATAATTTGATATGCAACACTAATACATCAAACGTTTAACGCATGATCTTAATCTAGAATGGTCCTAATGATAAATGAAATTCAATTTTAACCAAATATATTAGGAAAAAGTAATTTAATAAAATACAGGGTGATTCAAAATGAATGACCCAGTTTTAACGCTTTATAACTTTTATACTATTAAACTTACCGCTATAAAATACACATCAAACGAAAAAGCAACTCAAAGAGTTTATGCCTTCCAAAGAGACATCATATAACAAAATCGATCCAGCAGAACTGTAGATTTAATTGTACAAAGTTAAAAAGTAATCTCCAAATTTTTACCGCTAGAAATTTGGAGGTTACTTGACGTTTTTGCAAATAACTTTTAAATGGTGAGGAAATCGACCAAATTGGAAGGTAATATTCCGAAAGAGAATAAAATTTCCTACAATCTACTACAGTATTATGCATTTCTTGAAAATACTCAATAAATGTAGCTTAAATTTGGCTTAAAATAAAAAATTGTGAAATTTAATGTTTGCTAAGTTTATTGTCTACATTAAAGACGGGGATTTTCAATTTTTCTTTCATTTTGAGGCTTTTTTTGGTACCTTTCTTGAGTATTTTTAAAAAATGCATAATAGTAGATTGTAGGAAATTTTATTCTCTTTCGGAATATTACCTTCCACTTTGGTCGATTTCCTCACCATTTAAAAGTTATTTGCAAAAACGTCAAGTAACCTCCAAATTTCTAGCGGTAAAAAGTTGGGGATTACTTTTTAACTTTGTACAATAAAATCTACAGTTCTGCTGGATCGATTTTGTTAAATGATGTGTCTTTGGAAGGCATAAACTCTTTGAGTTGCTTTTTCGTTTGATGTGCATTTTATGGCGATAAGTTTAATAGTATAAAAGTTATAAAGCGTTAAAACTGGGTCATTCATTTTGAATCACCCTGTATTTCAATTGTTTTCTCTTCAAGCAATTTAGGAGGACATGAAAATTATACTAAATATTGGACATGTAATAACCATCCCCAAAACTTTGACACTTGACCAATAACCATGATAAATCCTAAATCAAATGAAATAACTATAAAAATAGCTGTCAATTTCATTAGTTTGAATCTTTGAAAATCAAGAGCACAATTTGCATGAAATAATGTTGCTACAAAATAACAATAACTTATTTCCTAAACAGAGGATATGTCCCTGTACCTGGCTCAGCTGATGAGTGTCTGTTCGACTGCTGACGAGTGCCTGCTGAGTAGTTCAGCTGCTGATTGTCTGGACAACTGCCGACGAGTGGCTGCTGAGTAGCTCAGTAGCTCGGCTATGTGTGATTGAATGGCACAAGTCATACACCCGCATATCGAGCTGAGGACCATTAATATCAAAGTGGCATTGTGGCATTGTTGCTCAGGCCTACTCATTAGACATCCATTGTACCCACTACCCTGTGATGGATGGTTGTAGTCCTACAAGAATCGCTACTGGTACCGACCTCTACTGTATTTGTAACACTCTTTTTCATTTACGGAATAACCTCATTTGCAAGACTTTGGTTTTGGCGATTATGGTTAATTCGACAGCTATTAAATTGTCATTAATCTCCGTGTGGGCCGTTTTGAGTTAGTCAACAATCTCTTTCTGGCGTTGTTGTGGGTAAACGTAATACCATGGTAATACATCCAAGTATGCGGATGGATAATTTGAATTTTTCTGGTTGGATAATCATTACACAAAAATACTCTTATTGTGCAAAAAATGTTTTGGCTCTGCGATTTGTATCTAAAATCATCCATCCCAGATATCTTGTACAAAATAGTTTTTTCAATTGCTGTTACATACCAGAAGTAAAGAATTGTATTCCAGGAGAATAGTTAAACATATTATCTAACTTTTGATTCTTATATTTCACAGCTAGTTATGA